TTTTGTATAAGCCATGAAGGAAACGGGATTGACAGACAGACCCTATGCAGTAAATGCAGGGAGCTGAGAAGAATGGCCTCAGTTTTGTTGCCGTCAAGTCGCAGGAAATCATCCTGCAACAAGCATTGAACTTCAGCCAAACATGTGGTGACAGGAGAGGAAGCAGATGAGAGGTCAGACTTGGGGTTTGAATACATTCGTATGCCATTGGTATAGAAACGGCAGGAGACATCGAACCATTAGAAAAATTAGATCAAGTGAAGTTTTCTAGAAGCAGAATAGCAGGGCCCAAGGGACAGCAGAAGAGACCGTGCAAAAGCAATTGGTGCAATGATAACGGCTGGATTTAATATATATATGTTTTCATGAGGTTATTGAGACTTAAAACATCTCTTTTGCAATGGACGCCCGCATCACTAAGCAATGCTGAGAACATTTACATGATGGAAAAGCTGCTGAATAATATTGGTCTGAAAAATGTATTTTAATTACATTGAAACACAATGGAGCCCTGTTGTATGTAAATTTAATCAGTTTGAAAAGGGTGTCACACCTTAACATGTTAAAAGTGCTCTTCCCCTTTTAACAAATTTATATACATTTTCAAGAGGGTGCTGCAAGCCACTGCTGGACGAAGGCATCCCCAATCCACCACCACCTCCAACTATTCTGCGACACAAAATCTCACAGGTTCAGGGGCCAAAATAACCTTTACAACTCGGAATGAAGACAATCCATGCTCCTTTGCAGCGCATGCATTAGCGAGGTAATCAGTACAGTGTCCCAACTTGTCTTTTGAGGGGAGTGGCAAAGATACAGGCCACGGGGTCACGAGGTCAGAAAGCCGAGTTGGCACTGCCAAGGTCAAGGGTTGGAAAAGCAGAAACCTGGCCGATCCTCAAAAGGTGGCGATGTGATGACTGATCTCAGCCCCATGCACCAATTAAATGAATGCACGCAAGAAAATATCCCATCGAATCACATTTCGGATTATCAGGGTTGGGAGACAGGGACCGATAATGAGGGGCATAACCACTACAGATTCGACGGGAGCCAGATTCAAAGTGGTGCAATGAAAATACATGCTCGTTTAGGCCACGTCTGTTTTTATTTTCTTTACGTCAGCTGTATTTTGGTTATATCCCTCTCCCCCCTTGTCATCCCTTCCCCCTTACTTAACAAAAAGTTTATCTTTACCCCATTCGGTGCCATCCTCTATGGTCTGCGGCACCGAGCCCGGGAAATCTTCCCAATCCCGTGCTTTTCAATAACCGGTTCGGCTTATGTTGACGGTGTGTACGCGCGTCATGACGTGATGTATCTAGTCCGCCACATTGCCTCAATAAAATTGAATGCCCATTTTGACTAAATTCCAGCAGTGCAAATTAAAAGACGGCTCACATCAGTGGCGAGTGATAAATAAACCCTATGCACTCCACCTAGCCACCTCCACACTCCTTCACCAACCCGCAGAGACCATCATGATGAAGTATGGTTCAGAGAGGGCCTCATGACAAATGGCCGAGTGACGCTGTTAAAGTGACACGCAAAAAAAATCGTAAATCTAGAGGTGTTGGCACGTAATACCGGACGCATACATGCGTCTCCTATTACAAATATTACGAGACACAAGTAAAATACACAGAGATACACAAACACTCTCACAAAGACACACACACAGAGGCATACATACCGACACACCCAAATACCGAAATGCACACACACTGGAACAAACTACCACATACACATTGACACACACCGGAATACACTGGAACACGCACACACATACACTTACACAAAGATCCCCCTTACAGCCATACCGTCTGTTGTGGGGTTAGTGCTGTTCGCGAGCATCTACTGACACATTGAGACACACCGCACTCGCACCAATACTTGGATCACAAAAAGACAAAGTTCCCACCCCCCCCGCGTATAGCCTTAACAGACTGTTGGGGCAAGTGCTGTTAACGAGCATCTATGAAGGCCGGCACGGCACACGAGGGGGTGGGTGGCCAGCACCACGCCCGCCCGCCTTTGTCTCCCCAGTGACGATGTTTACACACCGCACCAGGTACTCAATTGAGGCCGGGTCGACCTAGGGGAGGCCCATGACCGGTTCAGATAATCATCACCGGTGTTAGCCGTGAGTGGGACTCGAACTCGGGTGGCCGGGTCCGTAGTGCGGCGCGCGAACCGCTGCACCACCGCTCCCCTTGCACACACACACACACTGACGACACAATGGAACACGCGCACACAAACATGAACAGCAAAGATCACCTCCGTATTGGCTTCAGACCCTTGGGGCAAATGCTGTGAGCGAGCACCTTACTACTGGTAGGAGCGAAGTTGTAAACTGAGTGTACCAGCCTGCAATAGATTATGTCCGTCCGTCCGTCCTTTCAATACTTTAACGAAGTGAAATCTCGTGCTGTTGGGTGTAATAAAATTGCGCAAAATTCCAATGTTCCTACCAGCCCACCCTGGAGGGACCTGTTACAGTACACTGGACACACAGTGGCACACAGTAACACAGCGCGCACACACCGACAGGCGCACACACCGACACGGGCACACAGTAACACGCGCACACAGTAACACGCGCACACAGTAACACGCGCACACAGTAACACGGGCACACAGTAACACGCGCACAAAGTAACACGGGCACACAGTAACACGGGCACACAGTAACACGGGCACACAGTAACACGGGCACACAGTAACACGGGCACACAGTAACACGGGCACACAGTAACACGGGCACACAGTAACACGGGCACACAGTAACACGGGCACACAGTAACACGGGCACACACACCGACACGGGCACACAGCAACACGGGCACACAACGACACGGGCACACAGTAACGCTGGTACACACCGACACGCGTACACACCGACACGCGCACACATTGACACGCGCACACAGTAACACGCGCACACACCGACACGCGTACACACCGACACGCGCACACAGTAACACGCGCACGCACCGACACGCGTCTGTCATAACAAACACTCACGCCCTCCACGTGCGCTCTTGGCAGCCAAGTGCCACAATCGACACCGGCGTCACGAATTCAAAAACACCCAGCGGTCTTCATCATCATTATCGTCGGTCATGATCAATCCACTGCTGCATGAAGACCTCCACCCTCCTCCCCCACCACTCCGCGCGGATGCGTTGCCACGCAGCCACCCGGCACCTGAACGCACGATCGGGATTTCATCGCTCCGTCTCCACGGAGAGAGGAGAAAACACCACGGAGAATAACGAGGGGATAGCAAACACACACGCGCACATAACTATGTAGCGATAACGCCGCCGTAACCCAGCTACCTACTTGCTGTACTGTCGTTACAAGCTAGGTGTCTTGTACAAAGACAAAGATCTCCCGTATAACCTGAACAGACTGTTGGGGCAAGTGCAGTTAGCGAGCACCTATGAAGGCCGGCACGGCACACGAGGGGGTGGGTGGCCAGCACAACGCCCGACCGCCTTTGTCTCCCCAGTGGCGATGTTTACACTCCACACCAGGTACTCGTTTTAAGCCGAGTCAACCTAGGGGAGGCCCAGGACCGGTTCAGATAATCGTCACTGGTGTTGGCCATGAGCGGGAATCGAACTCGGGTCGCCAGGTTCGTAGCGCAGCGCGCTAACCGCTACACACACACGACCATTGATGGCACCAAAACATTACAAGCCACACTTGACCACTCATCACATCATGATCCACCAACCCACCCACCCATTCGTCTCACGCGCGGCGGGGGGAGTGTTGTGGACTCACGCTTTCCCGCCGCACCCGCCCCGAGTGTCGGAGGCATCGTGCAGGCTCTAGCAACTCCGCGACTGGCAACAACAGCAACCGCTGTTGCGACTGCAACCTTTGACCAAGGGCGCCCCGTCACCGCAGAAAGACGGCGACTTGGCGCTCACGGGCAAAAGACGGAGGCACCGCGTGGGGCGCGCGCTTTTATACCCTCACCCGGCCACGGTGACCAATCAGAGGCGCGGGAATGGCGCGTGACGCCACTCCGTGCCCCCCTTCCAACAACATCCCGCGTGACGTAGAACGTTGTTGGACGCCGTTGTCTTATGACGTCATGTTTCAACCTGGGATATTCTTGCCAATAAAAAAAATCAGAAAATGTTTGTTTATATTAAATTTTCATCTGTCACCGCCTCCCCACCCCATGGTGTAAACAAGTGCAATCTCCAACTCTTATTTTCTACTCTTTCTGGCCTCTATATTTTACTTAGAGCCATTCCATGAAATGTCCCCGAATTGTTTTCAGTTTAAGGCCACACAGTATAATTGACAAGTGTGCTGAGTTTAAAAATTGTATATTTGCGGGCCTTTTTATCGCCTGCTGTCCCATTTCACCGAGAAATCGAATGTATTATGTAAACAAATGCATCTTTCCAATTGGAGGTGGCACCAGACATGAACCTGCAAAGGGACTTAGGTTTGTCCAGCACTCAATGATACAGCTGTGTTTTAGATTAAGTGTTCATTCATTCGTGGCGGCTGAATGGTATTCAGTTTGACGACGAGCATGGCCTTCTGTCTCTTTTCTGGTCTCGATCCCACCAGAAATGAAGACAGGGACACAGACCGAAAGCTCACCAGGGTGCGGTTCCCCACCGTTCAAGTGGCGAGCCACAGCACCGACAGCCGGACATCAGCCCCTTGTTAGTTGTCTCATCACACTGTCCTCATCGTTATCCTCAACATCATTACCACCATGATCGCATTTCAACCTCGCAATTCAGTCACAACAGCGAGATATGCGAAGGAGACATTGTCTGCTCATCTATTTAAGAACTCACTCTCCGCGACGCTACCAAACTACTTCTGAATGGGTGCACGGAATGCCGTGAGCTGTGCGCCATTGTTTTTATTCATAATTTGCGTTACGTACAGGAAATTCTATTACACGTTTGTTCATTAAACATCCATAATTATTGAAAAAAATTAAGGATTTCAAATGGTCTACCATATGTACACTTTATTGATGAAGCAATTTGTGCAAAATAATCACAGCGCGTGACAACTGTACTCTCATACAAAAAAGAAAACATCATAGCTGTGAGTCTCAAATCATAACGCATGAAGTGAAATCTCAATCCAGTCCCATATTTTGTTCTGACGAGAACATGACCGTGCAGTTGATAATGGTCCTTCCACTGCACTGTCCTCACACGACCTCTTGGATGTCCACCACTAATTCTTATTTCATGACCAGGCCCGGCTTGGGATGCAGCAGAACTTCATACCTAGCCTCAGCATGAGACCACTGTGTTCATGACAGCGCATCCAGCTGACTCTGTATCACTTCCAACTAAAAAGGAACAACACACACACATGCAGGTTAACACAAAAGTGTGTGAAGCAAGTCGACACAAAACCACGTACACACAAATAGACGTGATGGAGGGCCTACGAATGGCTGTGTGGTCAGACCTTCTTGTAGAACTCGAAGAGCTCCTGGTGCGTGAGCTCCATCTGCACTTTCTCCAGCTCCTGAAAAAAAACAAACACGACTCATTAATGCTTCAGTTGCACAACCACTCGAGATGGTGACAGATCTGCCCTGTAGCTCTGCCAGGTTGCTTGTCCCCATGGAAGTTTGCTGGGATTGGGCGGTGCATTAAGTGGCCCATCAGCACACGTTCCATCTTCCTGGGAAGTGGGTCAACCCTCTGAGAGCCACGCCGACCTAATGACCTCTCGATACATCATGCAAGCCCCGTAACAAAAATAATATTTTATTATTTGATTGTTTCCCTTCAACGTGACTTTACCGAAAGAGCTAAGATTATAATAATAATCACCTCGCTCAAACACTCGGCCGTGTTTCAAAACACAATGGCCAAGAGCTGGCCTCGTGACCCAGGGGTTAATACGATGGCAGGGCATCGAACCAGCACCACTGAGATCCTTTGTGTGAATCTAGTTTTTAGCCACCTGTGATTAAACTGGGTTCTCAAGCGTTAGTGAGTTGGCAGTCGTAGCCCTGTGTGTGTGTGTGTGTGCGCGTATGTACTTGGTTGTCATTGCTTTGGATCCCAAGCTCCAGCACGGCTGATGGGGTCTTGATTCTCGCACGTGTCGTCTGCGCCAGCTGGAGGTTCAGTTGCCAGCTCATCGACTCCAGCTGTGTGGGGAGGGTGTAGTGGTGGTGGTGGTAGGAGTGATAATGGTGGTGGCGGTGAAGGGTGATGGTAGTGGTGATGGTGGTTGTGGTGTTAGGGTCAATGTTCATGGAGACAGTGGTGGTGATACTGGTCGTGATGGGGGCAATGGTATTGATTTTAATAATGGTGATTGTAATCATATTGGTAAAATGTAGTGGTGTTTTGATGGTAGTCATGACAGTTCCATAGTGGTGGTGATTTAGGTGGCAGCGATGGTTGCAGTAATCATGGTGGTGGTGGCCATTGTAATGGTCATTATAGTGGCAGTGGTGATGGTAGTGTTGGTAGTGATGTTGGCGGTATTGATGGTAGTGATAGTATTAGATGTGATAATGGTGGTGGTCATGTTGGTAGCGGTAAAAGTGGGGGAATCAGTTGGATGGTGGTGGTGGTCGTGATGATGGAGTGGTGAGGAGTAGAGGTGGCACAAGTTTAAACAATGAAACCCATTCAAGACAATACCACATTCATTGTTTGACGTTGTAAATGTACAGTACAGGACACGGATTTAGAGGAAGTCAAACGTCAAAGTGTTCCCTCCTGAAACAATGCATTGACGCATCACTCTTCTCCATTCGTGGCGCTGAGCCAACTGTGGACATTTCTCATTACCATATCAGGGAACATTATCACAAAAAGATTACTTAATATTGACTACCATCAAAGTGGTAATGATTTTAATCAAGCACAGTTTGATTTTGTGAGCCTAGCGCTGCCACTGCCTGGTTGGTGAGATCACCAGAATCCTATGACACGAGTAAAGGTAGAAGCAGCACTTTGTGAGAAGTGGTCGTCATATGGAGGGACGAGGTCTGGCCATGAGAATGTGGACTTCACAACAATTTTTCAAAGCCAACAACAAAGACAAGCACTGCATCACTGTTAACATTTAGCAGAACTCTTGACTATGGATATGTACAGAGCTGTCCTATAGAGGGAATCGCCTCCACAATAGGAATGTGGAATTTCCACCACGATGCCACCCCATCGCTCGTTAAGAGTATGAAGATGCTCTGATGTTCACTTGACGACAGCAGCAGTACTATCTGAGAGAGAAGCTGCAAAATTATTGTAACTGTGTTTGCACAAGTACATGGCTATCCATGTACTGCCCTTGTATCAATACACTGCTGGATGGGGTCCTCTTCATACCTTGCAAGTCATGGGGGTAATTTCACCAAACATTACCACGATGCCCAGTACAGGTTGGCAAAGGTGGGAGTGTAGACGTGGGTATGTAGAACAGTACAATATATTGTATGTACTGACCTCTGCTGCCCACAATGTAACCCCAAAAGCCCATGACCACGTGATTGTGCAGTGGAAGGTGGTCACCAATCCTAGAGCTGACACCGGCGCTCAGCGTGGCTGCATACACGCACCGTCTTTGGCGCCATCGATCGCTGGCGCAGCCTGTCCACGGCATTTCGCCCGCCGGCAGCCCACGCCTCCAAGAACGCGTGGCACTTGGCCTCCGTCACATGCAGCTGCGCCAGCTGCTTCTCCATCACGGCCGGCTTCCAGCTGTGGTAGGCGGCCTGAACAGAGGATAGGGGGTTGGAGTTGGGGGAGACGTGTTCACCAGATAGCATCTTGATTCGAGGAAAGAAAACGCACGCGGGCATGGGTGCTCTCATATGAATGCATAATGACATCTCCATTCGCCATGAAATTGTCGTGATATTTGTCAATGATGTTGGCCTTGAGTGGAAATCGAGCGTTTCACCCGGATCGTAGCACAATGTGCTATCCAATACACTGCCGCTCCCCACACTAATGCATTCGGAACGCACACACGCATGAGCACATGGCTACACAAGCATGAGCGTTTGTAAGGGCGCACAAAGAAAAGCCTAAGATTTCCTGTGTTGGGGCAAGTGTTGTTTGTGAGCTCCTATGGGGATACCTGCTGGAGGATGAAAGTGCAGGTCTCGAGGGTGAGCTCCAGCTGCGGTTGCTGCAGATCCAGAGCCACCATCAGCTTCTCCTCCTCCTCTGGACTGAAACTCCTTTCATCCTGCACAAACACGTTCACCATGTAGACCAGTGTTCTTCACTAATGTTTAGAGGGGGATGACTTTTGCCGATAAGACATCAGTGAGTGTGAGGGCCGCCACAAATTTGAAACCATTGGGTTTGACTGCATGATGGGGTGTTTTCACATTTGTATATTAGTGAGGGCCGCACGTCAGGGGCCGCACTAAAGGCCACCAGGGGCCGCTAATGGCCTGTGGGGTTTGCAATGAAGAACACTGATATAGACCAATTAACGGCCTGTATATTTCCACCCGAGGCGGTGATGTGGTCAGAACCACACCCATCCTTCTTTGTCTCTCCAATAGTGATGTTTATACACTGCCACCAGGCGATAAAATTGTGGCTGAGTTGACCTTGGTGAAGCCCAAAACAAGTCGAGATATGATAAGTGATTGATTTTAGCCGTGGTCGGGAATTGAACTCGCGTATCTGATTGCATAGCGCAGTGCGCTAACCACTGCGCCCTCTACTCCCCATGTACAAACATTAATGCGCAAAGTCCAAGACAAGGGGCTGGGGGAAGAGCTCGAGCCAGACGATGGTGGCAATGAGACCGTAAACATGGGTCCTACGTCGACTGTACAACACTTCTGGATTTTTTTTAGACTGAAGGAAATGATAGCCATGCCGAGTGGAATGATTTGGGGAATCGGCACGGCCTGCTCTGCTTATGACGCTCACCTTGAGGTGAAGTTTCTGCAGAATGCGGGACAGGAGGCGAGGGAACTTGGCATCGTCTATGGTGTTGATGATGGAGACAGCCTGCTTGATGCTGCAGGTCACACACACATGAAGGGCGATAGCAGAGTCTGTGTCCTGACAGAGCTGAGTGATCGTGATGCAGAGCTGTAAGTTCTTTGCACGGCCCCATTGCAATGCAGATGGTCCATCACCATCACTTACAGATCACGTCGACTAATCTCCAACTGTGTAATCAGGTGGGTGGCATGCACTAGGAGCTGGGTGTCTGGTGAATGTCGCTTTCCTGCAGTTTTATCATATTTTAACCCATATTCATCTGGATTTTTCAGATCTCTTGGTTTTTGCTTTGGTCAAGCAAAAACTGGAAGTGTTCAATAAGTTGGCAATCGTGAGCTTATAAAGCTGATGTTCAAAGTGCATCAAACATATGTGTTGTTCAGTAGAACCACGCTGTAAGGGCTATTGCCGTTTATCTACACTGTTGCATAACATCACTCTCAACTCACACCAGAGGTAGGTGCTCTCTATCTGGTCCTTTACCCCGGATAATGAACATTATCTAGTCCTACTTCGGCTATCCTTGCGGGCTCTTCTCACTCAGGAACCCTTTCTCTCAGCCGATCCTCACTGAATACTCGGGACCCGACTCTCAGCTATTCCCTTGGCTCTCCCACTCGTCTGCCCGGAGCGGGGGCTCATCCAACACCGTCCAGCGACGAGGAGGGAGAGTCACCTTCCAGACGGCTCCTTGCCCTGGCTCCCCACGACGACCACGCCTTCGTCACGGGCTCCTTCCCCTAACTCGCACCCGCCGCCTTTGTTCCCGAAGGTGTACCCTCTGACACCACCCGTGATATGACGTGATCCTTAACCTTGCGGTTGAACCCAAATCAAGAGCCGAATGGCTCACAGGGTAAATCCTAATAAATGAAAAACTAAACTGAAACTTAACCGTCAAACTCCTCCTCCCCTACATTTTAAAATTCAACGAAAACTTGTTTATATATACATACCGGCGAGTTATTTACCCGAGAGGGTTTTCAGCCAGCAATGGCTTGAACGAGCAAATTGCAGGGCTTGCGCCTTTAGCCGCACACTGATTTACACCTGGCGGAGTACGTCCAGTTGGGGGGGTGGGTGCGCCTTAAAAAGCGATAGATGTCAGTACATTGACAGCCGATAACATAACATTGTGTGAATGACGAGATGGGTGTCGAGTGTATTGAGACAGCTGATAAAAATTAAAATAACGTGCATTACAAGGCCCTCATCGTGACACGGGGGGGTGGGGGGGGGGCACGCGCGAGGCGAATAATCGCGACATTACACGATATAAACAGTTGACATAAGTTCGGTGTAAAAAAAAATGTACGAAACGACAAGGTTTAGAGCATTCATTAATGGCAACCGTTGACAAGAGTCCCGGATACATTCACAGAGGTCCACTACCGCAACAGAGCCGCCCCCAACCAGTGCTGTCACACTCGGCGGCGGCGGCGAGGGTGGGTGGGTGTGGGTGAGTGAATTAACACGAGTGAGCTGCCAGTCTCGCGTTCGTTACTTGAATGTTTAATTCGGCCCCTTTGTTAAGGAGTTTTAGTGAGTAAGCATCGTAAATAGCCGCCGCTCGATCAAAATCACCTCTCCGTTTCCGTAATGCACGCCATGCCGAAGAATGGAAGTTTGTATCTCCTAGCGCACACGGGCGTCGACTCACCCTAGCCGGCGTTTTCATTGGACGCGGGGTTCCTCGCGCGACCAATTGCGACGCTCCTCGCCCGAAGTCACGCGCCCTTCGACCAATGGAAATTGGGCAACGAGCAGCGCGCTGTTTAACCGGTCTGGGAAATGTAACGTAACGTTTTCTTTTTCGATGGGCGGTTTGATGGGAGCGGTGGCGCAGTGGTTAGCGCACTGAGCTCGGGCATTCGTCAGTGGCCAGCGATAATTGAACCGGCCCTGGGCAATCCCTTTGGTCGACTCAGCCAAAAATTAGTGCCTGGTGCAGGTGTGTAAACATGCCTGTCAACCCCTTATCAGTGCCCTTTATCTTATTGCAGACCAATTTCAGACCTTATTGGTCACCCCGTTGCCCCTTTTAAATCACAACGTTCATCCTACAAAGTGCCATCACAAGGGAAGAAACACAAACAACAATCTCCCTGTACAAGAATACGGGCAAGCCGTATGGGATGACAGTTTTGTGTAAACATCAGCATTTGCCAGTCATCTCAACACGTGGGCCTGCCCTGTGACCTGCCACAATTTTACGCGATGACCTCAAAGTGCACCTAGCCTGGCACGAGCGTTGTGTTGACATCACCACCGCTCAGTGGTGAATTACGCGAGCCTTTGTTGAACAACACTGTAGTTTGTCGTTGATGATCCGGCACCCACTAATCACTCCACTTACCAGCGATCCGTCATCTCCTTATCACTCTTTTAGGGGCCGTCCATAATGACGTCACGCGATTTTGGACGATTTCTGACCGCCCTCCCCCCATCGTCACACGGTGTCACAAAAAGTCAGACCACTCTCAAATATGACGTCACAAAGCTCTGCCCCCCCCCCCCCCCAAAAAAATATATAAGACATGCTTTAAATCGCTTTCAACTATTGTCATTGTAGTGCTTATTTAATGTGACGCTGCACTCTGATGTTGTAGGAGAAAACATTTATTAAAAAGTATATTTAATTAAGTAGAACGTGTTGTCTATATTTATTTAAAGTTGCGCATTTTGATGTGACGTCACATTTTTCCACCCCCCCCTCTCGTAATTTATGGACGGCCCCTTATCGCTACTACCATGGTCACTTTTACCCTGAACTCCAATCGGTGATTCCTTTTCATCCGTGTCGAGAACCCGGTCTTCCAGAGACACCCACTCATCCGCACCCTTCATCCTCCACACTGCAGGTTATACTTACCCGATATAACACCAAAACCTTTATCATGAATAATATTGGTCGCGAAAGCCTAGGTGTTAAACTGAATAGGTGTATGTACATGGTTACGCTCAGTGTAGGGGGTACAGCTGGTGCATCTACCGGTCATCTCAGTCATCCAACCCATGGCACCTGCTGGGTCTGTTCCGTGACATCCTGCCAGCGAGCCTTCGACACTTCACGTGGCCTCAATGTGCACCTGGCCTGGCACAGGCGCCGTGGTGGTGATGTCGCCGTCACTTGGTGGCGAATGGCGTGGTATTGGTGGTATTGGCTGTGTGGGCAGTGATCGTGTTTGTGGATGCTGAGGGTGTGGGGGTGTAGCGGTAGTGTAGCGGTCAGCGCTACGAACCGGGTGCCACCCGAGTTCGATTCCCGCTCACGGCCACCAACACCGGTGACGATGATCTAAACCGGTCCTGGGCCTCCCCGAGGTCGACTCGGCCTCAAATGAGTCCCCTGTGCGGTGTGTAAACATCGCCACTGGGAAGACAAAGGCGGCCAGGCGTGGTGTTACCCACCCACATGGTGTGCCGGTTCCGACCTTTCTACGTGCCACTCGCTAACAGCACTTGCCCCCTACAATATGTTAAGGCTATACGGGGTGGGGGGGGACTTTGTATGTAATAATACTGTGCATAGTACTGTAATAAAGATACGTGCATATATATTGCGCCCATAACAACGTCATGAAACCAAACGTCTCGTAGCGCAATTTACTTTAGCCTAGGGGACCCCCCCCCCCCCTAATGGTAGCTTATCCCTCTACCTGTGCTGTTACAAGGCTACGCACTACAGACCACCAGTGAGCATTGGGGTGTCTGCCAGTAGGGGGCAGTGATTACTCAGTGTTTTCACAATTCAACATGAGTGTATGGGGGGGAGGGTTACTCTATGACCCCAAGTGTAAGACGGAGCGGTGGCGCAATGGTTAGCGCACTGCACTCAGAACCCCGGCCCCCCGAGTTCGATTCCCGCTCACGACAAAATAACCCTGGCATATATTTCAACCGGTCCTGGGCGTCTTCTCGGTCGACTCAAGGTTTAATGAGTACCTAGTGCGGTGTGTAAACGTCAACACTGGGGAAGACAAAGGCGGCTCTGTGCCACCCATCCCCTCGTGTGCCATGCCGGCTTTCATGGGTTCTCGCTAACAGCACTTACCCCAACAGTCTGTTGTGAAAGACGCTGCATGGTGTATTTACAGTATTTATGTTGAACGTCTTTCACACCGTATGTAGCCGACCAAACTAAACACACAAAAATAAATTCTAAAGGAGTAGGAGTACATCTGTTTGAAAATATGTGCATGTGTGAATGCGCGCAAAATGCACGTGTGCAATCGTGTCTGTTTCAATAAATGACGAAAGTAGCACCTTACACTTTTTGACACCAACTTTTAAACGGGACTGTCTTTATTGTCACGAGCTGCAGCAACAAAAAAAACACAGTTTGAAAGTCCAAGTCCATAACTGCGTGCGATTCGTGTTCAGACGTGTCTCCATTATCATCATGAACACACGTGTAATGTTCGATTATCAAAGTAAAGCCACAGTATCGGTTCGGCTAAAAAGGCGCCGGGTCACTCCCGAAAGTAGCTGTCATCGAGTATCAGCTATAGCCCAGCGCACAGCCAAACACATATCCACGTGTGTGTGGCTGTGTGTGTGTCAATGTAACATGAAGCTATAACCACAAATACGCTTCATCTCAATACACTCCCAACGCTCAACTCTCTTCGAATCGGAATCTACACCGCACGCATTAAAGGCATCGTCGGTCCTAATAAGGCACTGGGAGATCACAAAAATACACAGGGTGATCCATTTATAATGCCCCCCCTCCACCTCTCCCTCTATTTCCTTCTCAACAGCTGATCGAATATCGTGAAAACGATGACTCATGTCTCAGACGAGGGTGTTAAAACATAACACGTCTATTGAGATTGCTGGGAAGACATGCAGTGGCTTTGTCAATTTATGAATTGTAGTTTTTACTTAATTTTCTCCCTATTATGCCAGTGGGGGTATCTATCACTGGGTCATGCAGGGATCTTCCAAGTGCCCTTGAACTGGCTTTGGAATCCCAGCGCCTTGCTCGTGAGGCCTCCGCCTTTAGTTTTGTGTGCGGCGCACAATTCGATTTCTATCTTCCATTCCAGCCCCCTTCTCCGCTTAACGTTCACGAACGGCGTCACCACTTCGCTCCCGATGCGAGTATCGTGGATACAATTCACGTTGCACGTTCCGCCCATCAGCTCATTCCCCTCTACCAGTCATTTTATTTTTATAACTCAATCCATTCTCTTTCGCTTTCTTTGACCGCCTGACCTCTCTCTCTCTCTCAATAAAATAAACCTTGACACACCCACGGTAGGTTGAGCCGTTTATTAAAATATATCGGCACCCATTTGCTGCTGTGCAGGGGTTATTGCATTCGTCAAGAAGAAGATAAGGTTAAAGGTTAAAAGATAAAATAGAGGCACGTGTTTCTGTAACAGACCAAGTCAAGACATCAAAAAACATTGCGTTCAGCTTCTCATTTGCTGACTTAAATTTAAGGTAGCTTCAGTTCATTATTGCTTAATTAATTAGAACTTCCCCTGATAATTGCAGCTTTTGCTCTGACCCAGACCTCGGTTTAACATGGGGCAGCACTGAGTTTTCCCGGCCTTCTCCAGGTGTTGGCAACTATGAACCCAGGGTCCCAGACGGAGTGCCGAGCCAGGGCTGAGGGGCCCCCCACAGGTCCCGCACGAGGGGTTCGAAAGGGGACCGGGGGTGGTGATCGGGAGCTCAGGGAGTGAAGGGATAATGGGAGGGAACCCCAAAAGAGGACCCTGGCTCAGATGGACTCTCTTGGATAATTAGACACAATACTAATTACCATGTTTAATTATCCAAGCCAGATGTGCACTTGAGTTTAATTCACTAAACCCACAGCAGACAGCACTGTGGCCCCGCTGGGGTGCGCGCAGTCATGGCGGCGGTGATGGTGACAGTGCCGGTGATGATGGTGGTAGTTGTAGCGATGGTGCTGGTGATGATGATAGACGGGATGGCTTCCCAAGGCCCTCACCCGCGCCCCTCTCCTCCAGGTCTACCGATCTCCTTGATCGTGTCCAATCGTAATGTTAAGTCTGACGCGCATCAGACACGTCGGATGATTTGGTAAAGCGCAGGAAAAACACGGCCCGTGGGCATGGCGAGGGCAAGCGAACTTCAGAACATCCCGTTTCACCTACTCCGGTTCGCAGAGCGTGAGCGACGGACATTTCGGCTGGCGCCCTTTTGACGACTGCGGTTAAATATGGGTACGCTACATGTCCTACCAGGAAGCTAACTCCTCTGTCCACCCCGGTGACCGCTGATACATCAACGAGGAGTGTTCGGCTCAGCTAAAGAGAAGCCTGCAAACTCTAACCAGGGACGTTAAAGGCTAAAGGTTAAGCGTAAACTAAGAGTTATGTCTCCAGGCTTTCCAGAATTCGGGCCAAACAACAAGAAAAGTTTTAATAAAACAACATCGTTTATAATAATAATAAACAAAAGAGGCGCTGTGGCGAAAACAACCGTGCCATGAGAAATAACGCACCCCATGCAGAGTTTACTGAATGGCCATTCAGCCGCTGACAGTCTTACGCTTCACACCCCCTTTGCACTAATCTTCAAGGTTTAGTCCATAAGCAAGGCTTAGTGTCACGTGTCGTCCAATTGTTGGCCAGCTAACCCCACGATTAAACCTCGCCATGGCACAGACGATGGAAGTGGCACCTAGAGTCTGGTGGTCAAGAGGGAAGACATAAAGCCACGCGGCGGTGGTGGTGGTGGCAGTGGTGGTGGTGATGATGATGACGAGATAGTCCTTCGAGGTAGCGCGGGTGACTGTGCAGCAGCGGAGAATCTAGCAGAGGTGACGGAAGCGATGGCGAGGTTACGGTGGCATACGCGGTATCATCCGCGATGACCTCTTGACCTTTACAATCCCCCCAGCCTTCCGCTTGCCTCTACCGCCGATCCCAGCCCCGTGCCGCGCCATGTCTAGCCCTCGACTCCGCCGCTCTGCCGAAGTCTACACCGGGCACCGTCATTGTCACGGTGAGCGGTTTCGTTTTCGCCGCGGCACCACCGAGACCCTAGCCACCCCGACCGCGGATGCCCACCGCCGCCATTCCCGCCGCGAACCACCAACCCCGGCCTTGACGTTCAGGGAGATTGTCACGGCTGGTGTCCTCCCGTACGGCGAGAATGTGCGGGGCAGCTGGGGTCGCGATTGCATGAAAAGGGAGGATTAGGGACAGGGAGGGGGGGTTTGTGGGTAGGCCATGCTGAATATATTTTTTTAGGGGGGGGGGGTAGGAGAGGGTGGTGGAATTGTCGTTTCTTGGCGGGGAGGTGGCAATTATTTTTGGGTACGGAGGGTCAGAAGGAGGGATTGGCACAGGTGATTCCCCACAATGGGAGGGCAAGGATTTCTTCGGGATCTGAATTTGTATTTGGGACGGGGGTAACTCCGCGGGGTGGGGGTTCGGGGGCGTGCGTCGTTGGGGTCGGTGCCGCAAGTTACAGGTCGCTCTCGCCATAGAGGGCCATGGAAAAGGACATGTAGTCCAGGCAGCCGGGGGTGCCCTCGGAGCCCGAGTAGTGGGCCATGCGCGAGATGCAGTACTCGGCCTGCTCCGGGGGAAGCTCCCGGCGCAGCTCCTCGGCCGTGATGAAGTTCTGTGTGACGCGCAGGATGGGGGCAGAGGGGGCGGCGAGAAACCCACAGAGTCACTCTCCTACCCCTCGTCTCACTCTAGTACCCCTCTCCATGCACTCTCCTACCTCTCCCCTCTCGTCTCACTCTAGTACCCCCCTCCATGCACTCTCCTACCTCTCCCCTCTCGTCTCACTCTAGTACCCCTCTCCATGCACTCTCATACCTCTACCCTCTCGTCTCACTCTAGTACCCCCCTCCATGCACTCTCATACCTCTCCCCTCTCGTCTCACTCTAGTACCCCACTTCACGCGCTTGCCTATCTCTCCCCTCTTAGACATGTCTGTGTGTCTCATTCAGTCTACCACCGACCCGGATAATATTTAATGGAAAATGAAATCTTAAATGTTAAAGAATACATTTCCCGATTTGGCCCCATAATTTTGATGGAGGGCTCTTGCCATAAACGAGTGGTAATCTGGCCGCGTTTGTCTAACCTACTTGGCTGTTGATGAGACCCAGAAAGTCAAAACCAGTCATAAATGTGCTTGCTTAAATAAACAATATTAATAATATTGTTCGAGAAGCACAACACATGCTCGCTCTTGAAGAGAGAGAGTTACTCAGATGGGCGAGGAGGAACCACAGATGGTGTTTTTTGCAGGTGGGTGTTGTTGGCGGGTGTTGTTGCCGAGTGTTGTTGGTGGGTGTTGTTACTGGGTGTTGTTGGCAGGTGTTGTTGGTGGGTGTTGTTGGTGGGTGTTGTTGGTGGGTGTTGTTGGCAGGTGTTGTTGGCAAGTGTTGCTGCTGGGTGTTGCTGCTGGGTGTTGTTGGTGGGTGTTGTTGGTGGGTGTTGTTGCTGGGTGTTGTTGCTGGGTGTTGTTGGTGGGGGTTGTTGTTAGGTGTTGCTGCTGGGTGTTGTTGGTGGGTGTTGTTGGCAGGTGTTGCTGCTGGGTGTTGTTGTTGGTGGGTGTTGTTGCTGGGTGTTGTTGGTGGGTGTTGTTGGTGGGTGTTGTTGCTGGGTGTTGTTGGTGGGTGTTGTTGGTGGGTGTTGTTGACAGGTGTTGTTGGTGGGTGTCGTTGGTGGGTGTTGTTGGTGGGTGTTGTTGGTGGGTGTTGTTGTTAGGTGTTGCTGCTGGGTGTTGTTGTTGCCGGGTGTTGTTGTTGCCGGGTGTTGTTGTTGGCGGCGGGTCCCAGCACGTCGCCCTCACCTTGTCTGCGGCGAGGATCTTGAAGGAGGCGATGACTTGCTCAGCTGTGTCGGTGTCGGCCGTCTCCCGCGTCATGAAGTCGATGAACGACTGGAAGGTGACTGAGCCGGTGTTGGTGGCGTCCACCAGGGTCATGATGCGTGCAAACTCCGCCTCGCCCTGGTACCACAGTGACATCGTCGGCGACATCAACGTCCACATCATCATCATCATCCCCGACAGCGTCCGCATTCAGTGGACGATGTCGTGACCGCTCAAGCCATCGTCATCATCATATACATCGACCCCCATCGTTGGTAACATCGCCATCATCGCTGACATAGTCCACATTGGTGTCAGCGACGCTGTGATATCAAAATTATTGACATCATTCACATCATCCCCATTGACAACAACATCGATATCATCCTTGACATCAACATCATCCACATGATCGTTAGCCTCAGAACCATCCACACGCTCGACATACACATCGACATGCCCAACGACATCATCATGCACATTGAACATCATCAACTGGTGCATAGACGTTACCGACATTATCCAACGTCAATTTAAAAAAATATTTTCGTTAAATAGTCCCCCCCCCTAATTAACTCCTACAGAGATCCGGAAGTCAAAGCGACTTCCATTCACTCTCGTAGAGATGTACCGGCTAAGGGATCAACGGAACGAAGGAAACACCCTGGGGTGGGGGCAAGCAAAGAGCATTCGGGCAAGAGGGTTAGGGTGATCGACGCTCGCCTACCAGATCGTAGCCCATGGAGATAAGGCACGCCCTGAAATCATCTGGCTCCATCATCCCGTTCTTCTTCTACTCGGCGGTCGGGAGGAGCAGGAAGAGCAGGAGGAGGTGAAGCAGGAGGAGCAGGAGGAGCCGCAGGAGGTAGAGCAGGAGAAGCAGGAGGTGGCGACAGGAGCAGAGGATAGGATCGCGAAGGACCCCCCCCCCCCACCACGTAGTAAGTGGGACGATGGACAGAGCGACGCCATGTCCACGTGAGTGTGCGAATGATGTGTGTACACGGACATAGTTGTGGCGCAGGTAGAGACGCATAGACAGACACACGGACACAGAGCCAGGCGCACAGAGACAGACAGAGAGAGACGAGCACAGGGGAGAGAGAGAGTCAGTGCGGGTAGTTGGACGATGCCACGCGGGCGGGAACGGGGCGCCAGGCGGCGCACGCCTGGCGATCGTACCTGCTCGTCCTCCACCAGGTCGTAGCCCAGGCTGATGAGGCAGGCCTTAAAATCCTCGAAGCCCAGCGCGCCCTCCTGACACTGCGAACGCCGCGTGCGTGGGTGCGTGCGTGGCATTGGGTGTGTTTGTGGCAAGCCGAGGCGGGCGAGCGTTGTGGCGCGGCCGCCAGCGTGGTCAGCAACGCGCGTTACAGGGCAGAGCACATGGACAGCACGCGCGCAAGGGGAGCGTTAGTGCCGGGTTAGTGCCACGTATTATACACTGCAGACGGTGGTGTGAGCATCGCGTTCGATCTGGCGCTACGCCGCAAGCCGGTGGTCCAGCCACGTACGCAGCCCGCGTCTCGACCCGCTGCTGGATGAGGGCCTCCCCGCGCCGTGTGGGCCGTGAGGGTCGTTTGACCAAACTTCACGACGCCGGCTCGATGAAAGAGGCGGGATTGCACGGCAGCGATGGGTTTTGCTGCGATGTCCTCCGCCACCCGCGACGCAGCCTATAACACCTGCGTTTTTGCAGTTGGCGGTCGCCCATCAAAGCGCTACCCAGGCTCAATGCCGCTTCGCCTCCAAGGCATGACGGGATGGGACACATTGCGGGGTGATTGGGCTGGAGGAGCCGTCGGTGCTGCGGCGGCGACGCTGTCAGACCACGGATGGCATTGCGAGTGCAGCGTTAGTGCCCGCGTCACGCTGTGGATGTTAGTATGAGGATGACGGCAGTGTTAGAGAGCCATGCTGCGTATGCCAGTGTGAGTGTCACGGTAGTGTTAGTGTTAGTGTCACGGTAGTGTTTGTGTAATGGTCGTGTTAGTGCTTGCGTGACGGCAGTGTTAGTGTCACGGCAGTGTTAGTGTGACGGCAGTGTTTGTGTCACGGTCGTGTTAGTGTGACGACAGTGTTAGTGTCACGGTAATGTTAGTGTTAGCGTGACGGCAGTGTTTGTGTCACGGTCGTGTTAGTGTGACGGCAGTGTTTGTGTCACGGCAGTGCTAGTGTGACTGCAGTGTTTGTGTCACGGTAGTGTTAGTGTTAGCATGACGGCAGTGTTTGTGTCACGGCAGTGCTAGTGTGACGGCAGTGTTTGTGTCACGGTCGTGTTAGTGTTAGCGTGACGGCAGTGTTTGTGTCACGGTCGGTGTTAGCGTGACGGCAGTGTTAGTGTCACGGTAGAGTTAGTGTGACGGCAGTGTTTGTGTCACGGTCGTGTTAGTGTTAGCGTGACGGCAGTGTTTGTGTCACGGTCGGTGTTAGCGTGACGGCAGTGTTAATGTCACGGTAGTGTTAGGGTTAGCATGACGGCAGTGTTAGTGTCACGGTAGTGTTAGTGTGACGGCAGTGTTTGTGTCACGGTCGTGTTAGTGTTAGCGTGACGGCAGTGTTTGTGTCATGGTCGGTGTTAGCGTGACGGCAGTGTTAATGTCACGGTAGTGTTAGTGTGACGGCAGTGTTTGTGTCACGGTCGTGTTACAGTGGTCGGTGTTTGTGTGACCGCAGTGTTTGTGTCACGGTAGTGTCACAGTGGTCGGTGTTAGTGTTTGGATCATGGCATGGGGTCGTGTCGGTCGTATGAAGTTATACCAACCGACTGACTGACTTTATTTGGCCAAAGCGTGCGGCCAATATAGATTATTTTATGTGTGTTTAGTGGCAAGTGCCTCGTTGAGAATCGTCAACTCTTTGCGCTTCGCGGCCATCATTTAAACCGCATGACTACATGTTTTTGTCGTCTCTATAAACAAAAGAGACTTTAGGCAGAGGCTGCACTCGAGGCCTCCCAGAGGTTGTCCTGGAGGCCCACGTGGCATTCAGGGTGGGTGTCAGGACACGGTGGCCTCACCCGGTCGAAGTGGGTGAAGGAGGCGCGGAACTCGTTGAGCTGCTCCTGGCTGATGCCCTTGGCGTCACGCGTCAGGATCTGGTTCTCCACCTCGTTGATCGTCCGCGCGATCGTTGTCAGCAGCTGCTCCCAGCCCACGCGGATGTGCTGCACGAAAGAAGTCGCGCATCAAGGGTCACGGGGTCGGGGATCGATGAACGGGGATCGGGGATGTGGGGGGCATTCGGGATCGGAGATCACGAATATTGTACCAGGATTAATGGATCATGGAGCAGAGATCAGGGACAATGGTACCAGTGTTTGTAAATCAAAATTATGGCACCGGGAACCAGGGACTAGGGATCTCATGTTAGGGACCACGACCAGGGATCAGGGTTTACAGATCACAGATCAGTGCCCACCATCGACCAGATTAATGGATCAGGAAGCACGCAGCAGCAGCAGCAGGGATCAGGGTATAGGAGAGAGGGAGAGATGTTCTATCTGCGCCCCCCAGTGTCTGGATGGCGTGGACTTCTGGGTTGATGTGCGGTGTGTGTGGTGTTGTCACATCCATGGTGTAGTATGGCAGTGTGTATGGTGGTGTGGTGTATGGTGTATGGTGGTGTGTATGGTGGTGTGGTGTATGGTGGTGTGTATGGAGGTGTGGTGTATGGTGGTGTGTATGGTGGTGTGTATGGTGGTGTGGTGTATGGTGGTGTGTATGGTGGTGTGGTGTATGGTGGTGTGTATGGTGTATGGTGGTGTGTATGGTGTATGGTGGTGTGTATGGTGTATGGTGGTGTGTATGGTGGTGTGTATGGTGGTGTGGTGTATGGTGGTGTGTATGGTGTATGGTGGTGTGTATGGTGTATGGTGGTGTGCATGGGGTATGGTGGCGTGTATGGTGGTGTGTATGGTGTATGGTGGTGTGTATGGTGTATGGTGGGGTGTATGGTGTATGATGGTGTGTATGGGGTATGGTGGTGTATGGTGGCGTTTATGGTGTATGGTGGTGTGTATGGTGGTGTGTATGGGGCATGGTGGTGTGTATGGTGGTGTGTATGGCGGTGTGTATGGTGGTGTGTATGGGGTATGGTGGTGTGTATGGGGTATGGTGGTGTGTATAGTGGTGTGTATGGTGGTGTGTATGGTGTATGGTGGTGTGTACGGGGTATGGTGGTGTGTATGGGGTATGGCGGTGTGTATGGCGGTGTGCGTGAAGTATGGCGGTGTGTGCGTGCATTCTACGATGTGTGTGCATAGTGCACGGGGGGTGTGTATGGTGAGCGTGGTGAGCCGTGCTCACCTCCATGGTGTAGTTGGTGTGCTTGTTGTCAAAGACGAGAGCCTCCTGGATGAGCTGGTGGTCACCCTCCAGCTTGTCGATGTTGGGTTTGTAGTTGATGATATTCTGCTCGTAGGACTTGAGCTGGTTCATCTGGTCCTCCAGGGTGCCCTGCATCTGCACTGAGATGCGCCCGATCTCCTGCAGGGACACGGAGTCGTGGAGATCAAGGCAATGGTGTGGACCATGACAATGGCGATAATGAAGACGTCGATAATGATGATGATGATGTATATATGTATGTTGAACTTCTTTACATAGCCAACCGTGCTAATCAGAGGTGCAGGAATCATGATGAAGACGACGACTGTGACGAAGATGATGATGACAAAGAGAGTGATGATGATGATAATGATAATTATAATCATGATGATTAGCAGTCCGAGTATAGTTCCATAATTTTGTTCAGTTTCAGTTTTTCATTTATTAGGTTTAGACCTGTGAGCCATGCGGCTTTTGACTCGGGTGCAACCGCAACAAACAAAAAACATGAACAAGGAACATCTTAAAGTGACTACACGCAACAGAAAATTTCAGGAAAAAACAGCAAAGTCTTCCAGAAAAAGCACCGTATATCAACGCTGTGTGCAGAAATCCCAGTGGGATGCAAGTCAAACAATAACAACCATAAGACCATTCAGATGAAAGTTATCACTCTAACGCTGTACTAGAACAAACAAATATGGCTAAACCAAAACGTTTTCGAAATCACCAAAATGAAGCTATAAAAACAATGTAACAGTGATCAGAGGTGAGAGGTCATGGATGTGGACACGGGTTGAGGTCGAACCTCCATCTTGGTCTGGATCCAGGGCCCGATGATGTTGGCCGACGAGGCGAACTGGCGTCGCAGGCGCTCGTTAGAATGCTGGCGCGCGAGCTCCTCCTGCAGGGACTGGTCCCTCTGTGGCACCAGCTGCCTCACCTGCCGCACAGGGACAGCCATGCGCATGGCTCACGCATGGCTCGCACGTGGCTCACGAATGCCGTATGCATGGCCCACGCGTGGCGCACGCATGGCATACGCATCAACTCACTCGTTCACTCACTCAGTCACGCACCTGCATTGCCTGTTCACTCACTAACCCGGATATATCCCTTCACTTGCTCATTTTCTCATTTACCTGCCCCCTGCACCCACCACTAGGCCAGTTGTCTGGCTGTGTGGATGATGGTCTGTCTGTCCGCTCATTTTTCCATCTGTTTGTCTGCATGCATGTCTGTTTGGCTCTCCATATGTCCATCTGTATGTCCAGTGATTCAACTCTCTGTCCAAAAGCCCATCCGTCCAATTCAATATCCATCAGTCACTCTGTCTTGGTTGTTCGTCAATTTCTCTGTCCAGTACATCCGTTTGTCATTCTGTCCACCCGTCTGTATGTGCGTACATCTGTTTGTCCATCTATATATTAATCGGTCTATCCCTCCATCCATTCAATCACCCATCTGTCTCCATGTCCATCTGTCCGTCCATCTCTCTGTCCACCTGTCCGTCCGTCAGGGCAGCATTGCCTCACCGAGTCCCACTTGGTAGCGATGTCCTGCGGAGTGAGGTTGGAGTAGGGGTTGGGGCCGACCAGCTTGATGTTGTAGGTCTGCGAGATCTTCACCACCTCCGAGTGGATGGCCAAGATTGCCGTCTTCTCCTTGTCCGCCTCGGGGATGGTCGCCTTGAACTGCTCGTGGGCTGTGATGAGAAGCTGTTGGGCCACGCGCCGAGGAGTGGGTTGGGGGGGGGGGGGGTGCACCCAAAAGCCAGGGTTAGAGCTGGGGTCAAAGTCGAGCCGACTAGCACTCACCGGCGAGGCGAAGTACGGTTAAACCATTGCTCTCCCCCATAACTGACGCACGGCAGGGAGGCCCTCATCGAGCAGTGGATTAACAAAGGGCAGTGCGTGCACCCAAAACGCTGCCGCGCAAATCTGCACCGGCTGTGTCCTCGTCTGCTGATGCCGGATCTTCTCGTTTCAGTGCCAATTGCCAAGGCCAAGCTGAGGCCCTTCGCAGAACCCAGCTCAAACGCGGCGGCCGAGAGCGCCGGCGGAAGGGAGGCCCGTGGCCGTACGAGTGCTGCCACATTAAGCCGGCCCACAAACGACACCCACCTGTCACTGCATCTTAGTCGCGATAATCGTGCGCTAGAGGGGGGAATAATTTCGAGCTACCAACAACGACGCCACGTTTCTTGTTGTAGCCACACTTCGCCACTTCGGTCGCTGCGAGGGTTTCTCTAAAGTCAGTCGGAAATGTGCGGCGCTACTTTCGCGATCTCGTTGGACAACGCCACGGCGTGCCGCGTTCATGAGTGCGTGTTCATGAGTGATTGCCCGTCGCGATGTCGGGCCGCGTGGGTACCTGTATCTCCTCGATGGTGTGCACGATGAACATGTCCTGCAGGTCCTCCTGGGCGCCTTCCATCCAGTTGTTGAAGGGCGCGGCGCGCTTGGCGAACTCCAGGTACAGCTGGTCGATCGTCTCCAGCAGCTTCTCAGTCCTCTGTGGGGAGCGACGGCCGCACGGCCCGGCTCAGCCTCTCGGGCGATTTGCTCGTCGAGTCTTCACTTGCTCGTAAAATCGCCAATTCGCTCGCCAAGCAGTTCGCTCATTCACTCGCCTTCTCACCCACTTGTTCAGCCACCGAGTCGCCCGCTCAGTAACTACTTTTACCAAATCAATCACCACTTCAATGAACCAACCACCCGCTTGTTAAGGTATCAATCGCTCAACGGCTCACTCACTCATTAACTTACAACAATCACTCACGAACAAACTCATCGAATAATTATACCAACTACCCACCCGCTAACCTACTAACTCATGAACTCACTCACTTGCCGACTTAGTGAGTAAATAACTCCATTTTACTCACTCATTCCATCTATAACCCACGTCTCACCCACTCGCTCGCTAAGGCAATCACTCACCTACTTACACACTCGCTTACTCAGCCAATCACTCACCTACTTACACACTCACTCACCCCACTTGTCCACCCACTCGCTCACTCACTCACCTACTTACACACTCGCTCACCCCACTCACCCACCCACCCACTCGCTCACATCCCACCGAATGTAATTCACAAAAAAGCGCAAATAATCGAGAGATCCCCGGTGCGCCGCTCCCTCTTCACCTCCAGTGCCTCCCTCCTCTTCTGTGTGAGGGTCCCCAGGCTGTCCCACTGGTCGCAGATCGCCTGGCAGCGCGCATTCACTGACACCGCGTCGTGGTAGTCCAGCTCGCTGTGGATGGGGAAGACGCGGGCCAGCAGAGGGGATAGCATTCACAATAGACTGGCGGAAAAAAAAAACGTAACTCCTATCTTGTGGCCACTCCCTCGTATGCCATGCCGGCCTTCACAGGTGCTCGCTAACAGCACTTGTCCCAACAGTCTGCTGAGGCTATGCAGGTGATCTTTGTGTGTCTTGGTGGTGAAATGTTATCTCCCTCGTCTGGTATGCAGGAAGTCATGGGTTCGATCCTGACGCCTGGATATTTGGAGTTTGCATGCTCCCGCCACGTGGATCGTTCTTGGGGTCTTCCGGTACTTCCATCCACATTTAGAATCAACGTGCGTTTAGAGTACAGTGAAACCTTGAATTGTGAGCATAATTCGTTCCGGAAACGTGCTCGTAATCCAAAGCACTCGTATATTAAAGCGAATTTTCCCATAAGCAATAATGGAAACTCAGATGATTCGTTCCACAACCCAAAAATGCCGTATTCATATAAAAATTATTAATACAAAATACCTTTTTATATTTTTATTATTTAAATTGAATATAAAGTAATAAAATGTATTAATTACATTTAATCGTGGCTGGTGAGGGAGACGAGAGAGAGGAGAGGAGGAGGAGAGTTATTGTGTAGGACGACTTTCACTTGCAGTACAGTTACTAAAGAACAGTCACTACACTTGGACACACACACGTGGTCACAACACTATAGTACTGTAGTAAACAGTATACACGTGGTCACAACACTATAGTACTATAGTAAACAGTATACACGTGGTCACAACACTATACTGTAGTAAACAGTATACACGTAGTCACAACACTATAGTACTATAGTAAACAGTATACGCTAGCACGGATGTTGATTATACGAGTGAGGCACGCCGACTGAGACCGAGCATGGGAGATGATTACCCAAAATCCCGCAGCGAGAGAGAGAAGAACCATTGTCTCAGTTTTGATCACGTGATGCTCGGCAGACAAAGCGTATACTGTACGTACTGCTCGTATTGCAAGACATCGCTCGTTTATCAAATTATTCTTTATTCAAAACATTTGCTCGTCTTGCAAAACACTCGCAGACCAAGTTACTCGCAATCCAAGGTTTCACTGTATTTGGCTGCTATGCATTTCCACATGATAAGCCACTTCGTTTGGCTATCATTTGTGGCAGCCAGGTCGCTTCTGAAAAAGAGCTGCATAGCTCAGTGGGCACTACCTGGTAAAATAAAAGATACTTATTTAATTCGTTTAAGTTGAGTACATACTTGAGCTCCTGTGCGATGGCGGCGATCTGTTCCACGCGGTCCTGGTGGGCGGCCAGGTCGCTCTCGAAGGCCTCGTGCTTCTTCATCAGCGCTTTGATCTCCATCAGGGAGCACGACTCGTAGTCCTTCTGAGACAGCCACGACTCCTTGCCTGTGCGCCGCGCCGGAGACACCGCGGACATGGACTGAGGAGGGTACGCGGGGACAGGTGACATGGCACGGGAGACACGGGAGACACAGCACGGGAGATACGGGATGGGGGGACAAGGCACGGGACATGGGAAACACAGGATGGGGGGAACACGCAGACAGGTGACATGGCACCGGACACACGGGATAGGGGAAACAGGGGCAGGTGACATGGCAGACGAGACATGGGACATGGGCAGCATGGGATAAGAGGCACAGGATGGGAGATGCAGATGTTGGATGGGAGACATGGGGATGATAAACGTGGTACAGGAGGCGTGGCGGACAATAGACACAACGCATGGGACGGAAGACATGGGAAGGGAGATGATTGAGCGAACAGGACAGGGCAGACGAGACGGCCGCAACAGTCCGAGTGTCACGGCGTGAGACAGGGTGACGGGTCAGGGGGTCATCCTCTCTGCACGGGGGAGGTGAGGGGTGAGGGACTCTGCTATGCCGGTGCGGTGGGGGGGGTCTCGCCGTGCTTGAGGGGGGCGGGGAGGGGGCGCTCACCGTGGGTCCACGTCTCATGGATCGTCGCCTTCTGGCGGAACTTCTCGGCGAGGTGGTCGAGACGCTCGAGGCGGCGGATCTCGGTGAGGAGCCACTCCTCGTAGCCCTTCTCCACCTGCTCCAGGCCCTTCCACGCGTTGGCAATGTCCTGAGCACGGCGCGGGGGAGGGGACACGAGACATCGCTCAATCAATCAATCAACTCAACAGTCTATGGAGCAACCAATCACTTACCCTGTTGATCCACCGGCCTTTCCAACGACCAATCGATGCGTTGCCCCATAGCTCGTGAATAAATCCAAGCAACTATTGACCAATCACATAACCTATGTATCAATTAACAAGTTAGCTCATCAGTGAACTAACTGACCAATACATTAATCCATGCTTATGATGATGATGAATAAGACAGTGTTAGGCAATGTGATAGTGGAGATGATGATAATGATGGATGGTGATTATGATGATGATAACAATGGTAGTGATGGTCATGATGATGCTGTTGTTGGCAGTAATGGTGGTTGAGATGTTGGTGGCAGTGATGGTGATAATTTTGGTGTTGATGGCAGTGATGGTAGAGATAATGATGATAATGTTAAGGATGACGACGATGAAAATCAAGATGGTGGTAGTGATGATGGTGGTGGTGGCAGAGGAGATTATGGTAAAGATGATAGTGATGGTGGTGGTGATGGAGGATAAGGTGATGGCAAATATGACGACGACGACGACGTTGAAAGCGGTGATCATGGTGGCGACGTTGGCCGTGGTGGCACGCGGCGGCGTTGACGATGCGGCGACGCGACGCCGATTCGCACGAATGCCTCACCGACACCATCTTGCCCTCGGACGGCATGAATGCCGGGCGGTTGCTGAGCCGCAGCTTGGTCTGCAGGGTGTTGAAGTTGATCTCCAGCTGGCACTTCTCCTGCACCTTGGGCGGCTTGTGCATGCGGCGGTAGTCACGGAAGTCCTCCAGCTTCTGCTGCATGGCGCGCATCGTGTTCTCCGGCACGCGGTTCTCCAGCCACGGGATGGTGCGCCGGATCCACTCCAGCAGCTGCCCCCACGGAGGCACGGACACGGAATGACAACCTCCCCCACCACCACCACCACACCACCACCACACCGTCGTGTAGCCAAACAGAAACTGCTGCGGCAAAGTACGGTTAGCTCCAGATGATGTCTCGTGTAAAGACAAAGGTCTCCCAAGTGTAGGTTGAGAGGCAAGTTCTGTTAGTGAGCACCGAAGAATTCCGGCACGACACACGAGTGGGTGGGCGACCCAACACCACGCGCGGCCGCCTCTGTCTCCCCAGTGCTGATGTTTTTGGCACACCGCGCCAGGTACTCATTTAAGGCTGAGTAAACCTAGGGGAGGCGCGGGATTGGTTCAGATAATCGTCACTGGTGTTGGTCATGAGCGGGAATCGAATTTGGGTCTCTGCCGGGTTTGTAACGCAACGTACTAACCACTGCACTGGCGTTCCCCACTATGGACATCCACGCACAACAACAACAACAACCGCCATTCACCACTAAGTAGTGGTGACGTCACCACGGCGCTTGTACCAGGCTATGTGCACGTTAAGGCCACACACACACACGTGGACATCCACACACACGTGGACACACACACACACGTGGACACTCACACATGTGAGCATTCACACACACGTGGCCACACACACGTAGGGACACACACACGTGGACACACACACACGTGGACACTCACACACGTGGACACTCACACACGTGGACACCCATACACGTGGGGGACCGAGGCCTCCCGGCGCGCCCCACCCCCCACCCATTCCTCACCTCGCTGGCGAGCTTCTCGTACTCCTCCATCAGCTTCTCGTTCTCCTGGTTCACGGCCAGCACCTTGCAGATCCGATTGGCAGCGGTCTCCGCCTGCAGAGTGGTGGGGTGGGGCGGGCACAACGAGGGTAGTAGGGGAGGTGAGAAGAGGGGAGGTAAGAGGAGGTGATGAAGAGGGGAGGTAAGAGGAGGTGATACAAGGTGGAGGTGAGCGTTTGAAAGGCGTTTAGGCGAAGGGCAGGTGATGGTGTGTGGGGGTGGAAGAGGTAAGGGGGACGCGGAGAAGCGATGGAGGAGGTGATGAGGTGCGGCGAGTGGAGGAGGAAGTGAGTGGTGTGGCGATAACGGGAGGCGATGAGGTGGGGTTGGAAGACGTGGGGGGAGATTACGAGGTTGGGATTGATGAGGTGAGTAGCGTGTGCGGGGTGAGAGGGGAGAAAGCGTGAGCGGAGAGTGTCGAGTGGTTTTTGGAGAGGAAGGAGCGAGTGTTGATTACCCGTGACGGGGAAAGGGGGATTGCTGGGGAGTGTTTCGGAGCGAGTGTTTCCGAGTGAGCGTGCGCACTTACCTGCTCAGCGCCAGCGAACGCATGGTAGAAGCACGACACATAGGTCATGATGGCCTTCTCGTCGGGTTTGGGAGTGTTCACAATGTCTGTGTGATTGTGCGGGAAGTTTATATCGAGACAGACACACGGGTGGGTGGGGGGGCATAGGGGGAGGGGACGAGGAAGACAGCAGAGGTCAAGATGCAGGTCAAAGAGAGCAGAGCGAGAGAGGAAGAGATGAGAGGTGGGAGAATGAAGCTTTGGCAAGGATACCAGGCTGGAGATCACCTGGAGGGAAAGGAAGGAAGATCGCTGACATCCTGGGAGAGAAATACACAGGCACGAGGACCCGTGGATGAAGTAACGAGTGGGCTTAGCGAGGGTCACGTGGGTCCTGGTGCACGAAATTCAATGCCCCCCCCTAACTTACGCCCCCCCCCCCACAGGCCCCCTTCGTAGTCCAGCGCCTGGTGCCCCTCCCGCCCGTGGGCCCCCGGTGCAGTTGCACCGCCGGCGTGCTACTGGATGGAAGCCACGCCACTGAGTAGATGCAGGAGAGAAGCCTGCAGACAACTACTGCAGAGCTGGGCGGGGGGGAAGGAGCGGAAAGGAAAAGTCGGAACGCGGAACACCGAGGAGAGGATTCCGGTGCGGAGGAATCTGTGGAGGGGGGCCACGCAGACTAACGCAAACACGCGGATAGGTCGAGGGACAGGCACAAGGCAGACACGACCGACCGAATAACAGGCAGACTAATAAAGATCGACTGACGGACAGGCATTCCAAAAGACAGACCGACGGATTAACAGGCAAGACAGACAGACATATTGACAGACAGCCAGACAGATAAACAATCGTACAGCCAGACAGGCCGATAGATAAACAATCAGACAGGCAGACAGATAAACAATCATACAGCCAGACATATAAACAATCGTACTGACAGACAGAGAGATAAACAATCGTATTGACAGACAGACAGATAAACAATCGTATTGACAGTCGGCAAAGGGCTCCAACAAAGCACAGCTCCGTGGAAACATCTGAAAGGAGAGAGAGGGGAAGAGGGAGATACACACGGGGCGAGATGGAGAGAGGAAGAGGAGTTGGGGTGGGGGGGGGATAGTGAGCGCGTTGTGTTGAGTCCGGGATTCGCAAGGGAGCCGCGTGGCCACGCTCCACGGAGAGACGACACCGCTCCTCTGGGCCTCCCTCCCTCACCTTCTTGGCTCCGGAGAAGGCGTGATAGTAACTAGAGATGTAAGTCATTACAGCGCGTTCGTCTGGCTTGGCTGTGTTCACCACGTCTGCCAGCGGCGGAGAGGATACAAACACAGAGAGAGAGAAACAAAGACGGATTGGGACTGTGGGCGAGAAGCGAACGCGAGCAATGCAGAGGACGATCCTGCGGGGGAAGGACCCTGATGGCAGTGGGCCTCCAGAATGTCGCGGTCTGATGATTGCCACAGTATCAGTTGCCCATTGCGTTGCGATTGAATCTTTGCGGTCTTATCTTTGTGACTTTATCTTTGCGATTGCATCTTTGCCGCTCTATCTATGCGATGGTAGATTTGCGATTGCATCTTTGTGATTGTATCTTTGTGATTGTATCTTTGTGATTGCATCTTTGCGGTTCTATCTTTGCAGTTGCATGTTTGTGATTCTATCTTTGCGGTTGCCCCATTTGTGATTGTAATTCGCACGATCATTGTAACGTTGTTGTTGCTTTGCAGTAAGTTCAGCACGCATAGAGGTCACTTACAAGTTGCAATCAGCAGTTCTCTCCACCCACACGGAGCGCTGGCGGAGTGCGAATCGACTCCGATCTCGCACCGATGATTGTACAATGACGGTGCACGATTACAGAACAGGATCGGTGGTATTTAATAAATCCACCAATTATCATCATCACCATCAGCCACGATCAATCCACTGCTGGACGAAGGCCTCCTTTAAATCCGTCACCATGCCTCACGATCCGCCCAGCACACACTCGCCCCGACCTCACCGTCCCATCGCTCACCTTTACTCTCACCCTCACTCCCATCGCCTATCCACCAAACCCTCACCGCTACCCCGAGCGAATCGCCGACACGCTGACCCTGCCCGCCACCTGCCCCCTGCGCTCACCTTCTGCGTCCAACATCTTGGGGATGTCTAGGTACTTCTCGGCCACCTCGAAGGCCGTGTTGAGGTTTCCGATAGGGTCATCCTGGGGTCACAAGGGGTGGGGGGGGGGGTGAGGTAAGCGTTAGGCTGAGGCGCTCGGGGGTGCATCGCGCAGGGGAACGACGGTGCTGTTGCTGTGTGATGGGTTGATCGTCTGGCTTGCAGGTGATGGTATAACACGCAGGCTTTCGCGACCAATATTATTCATAATAAAGCTTTTTGGGTTAAATCTCGGAAGTATAAATGTGTCGTAATCCTCCACCACCCGACACAGCCATTTAAAATTGATTTGTCAGGACCCTATTGCAGAACAGAGGGAGAGACCATAGAAACTCCACACAGAAGGGGGGCGCCCTGGTCCGGCATCGAACACAAGACCCTTCTGCCTCGAGGCACGCACGAGCGTCACCACCGCCCTGGCCACCCAGGGATGACGTGAGCGATGGTGACGATGACGAGGTGCGCGTGTGCGCTGTCACCTTTCTCAGCTTGGCGTAATCGATGAGGTCGGGACGGTGGCGGTGGATGAGGGCGCACAGCGCGAGGCCGTCCTTCCAGCTGCCAAGGGAAAAGTCACGCATCCCGTAACGTCTCCATCGCCGTCATCATCATCAGCAGCAGCAGCATAATCATTATTGTCATCGTCAGCATTAATATCGTCATTATCATCAGCAGGAGCAGCGACCATCGTCGTCATCATCAGCATAATCATCATCATCATCCACAGTAGCATCGTCATCATTGTCATAATTTATTGTCGTTATTATCGTCATCATCATCAGCGGTCACTCCACACGGCAACTCAAGAATCGAGTGCAGTTCTTAACATCTGGGCGCCGCGTCAGAGTCACGAACACCACCACGGGGTGTTGTGGGGAGTGGGGAGGGGGATAGACTCGGTTGATGTGCGATGAGATGACGGGTTTCGAGGAGGAGGAGGGGGGGGGGGGGCAATGACCTGATGTGGAAGTTCTGCACGTTGACGTTCTTGTAAGGCGCCGTCTTGCGCTGGCACCACAGCAGCAGCCCTTCCTTGGCCGACGTCTCTGTGGGGGGGGGGGGGGGGGGGGGCACAGCGGCGACGCGGTCAGCCGGAGGGGTTCATCTCTCGACAGCATCTCTCCGCACGTGCCGCTATTATACCGGGGTCGGGGGGGGGGGTGGTGGAGGTCGTCTTCACGTTGTTTTTCTTTTTTCACGGCGCTCGAGGTGAGACACGCCCGATGAGACCGCCACGGATATCGCAGCGCGCAAACGAATCTATCGCGGGCCGTGATCGCGCAAAAGAGCAGAGGGTTGAACGACCGGTGAGAGACTTGACAGCAACGGAGAAGTGCGGCGGGGTGGACGCGTGGCCGGGTTAAAGGGGCGACTCGCCAGAACCATCGTCGTGCCGGGGCACGGTACGACGCGCTGTAAACTATCAACTCGTTTCTTTTATTTTAGCAGGTTGAGGCCCTCTGAGCTATGTAGCTCTTTTTCAGAAGCCGACCTGGCCACAAATGATAGCTCAACGAAGTGGCTGATCACGTGGACATTTATAGCAGCAGCCAAATACTCGAAACGCTGGATGTTGATTTCTAAATGTGGAGGGAAAACCGGAGGGCCTGGAGAAAATCCACACGACCACAAGGAAAGAGACACGCAAACTCCAAATATTCAGCAGGCGTCAGGGTCGGGATCGAACCCACGACCTCCTGCATACCAGGCGAGGTAGTTAACATCTCGCCACTGCGGCGCCAGAGGCCACTTAGGGCACGCCAACGCGGAGAGAGCTGACAGCCGAGGAGGCGCGAGAATCACCCCTGCCAGCGTTGCGGTTAAGCGAAAGATGATCACGACGATGATGACGAAAATGATGATGATGATGACAGCGATGATGATGACGACGACAACGATGATGATGACGACGGCGACGATTATGACGGACGACGGCTCAGGACTGCGCGGATGACGGCCATCGAGAGGTCCTCGGTGGCGCTGGGCAGCTGCTGCTGCTGCTCGATCAGAGACCCTCGTGGGCGGCAGCAGCGGCAGCATCAACGATCGTTCGTTTACCTCTACGTAGAACGGGGGGTGGGGAGGGGGGCAAACACGTAGAGCGCGCCGTCTCAACTTGATTCGCTTCTCAAAGCCGGCGGTTTTCTTTGCCGCTGGCTGTGATTGCGTTCACGCGGGCGCCGAGTGGGTGACCCCCGACGAGTGAGGAGCGGCCGACCGTGAACCGAGCGAGCGGCGCGCGCGCGCGCGGCACAGGAACGTGTGCGCGAACGGAGCCGAGTCGACGATCGAGGGCTGGCGGCGCGTCACGGCGCGCCGAAACCAATCGCGGAGAACGGAACCGGAGCGGCGGGGGCGGTGCGGCGGCGGCGGCGGGCGTACGAGGGAGTCGCACCTTCCACGGAGATGTCCTGGATGGCAAAGCGCAGGATGATGGTCCAGATCATTCCCAGGGTCATCTTCGCGTTCCCGTCAACGATTTCTGAAGAAGAGGAAGAAACAAAAGAACCACCCACAACATGTTGTCAAAGGGAATCAGAGTGCACGTGATGAGGAGGAGGCTTGCGCAGTCGGGGAATGGTCAGCACACTGAACTTGTAAAACAGAGGTCGCCAGTTCGACACACGATCACCCGGCGCGGCAGTTGAGAGAATGGGGCAAAGTTTTTGTTTAAATTCCCCTGCATCCCTCCCCCCCCTGCCCCTGCCTATGCGGTTCGCCCAGCAGCGTAAATAGGTAGAGCTCCTGCTCGTCGAGCGGCAGGTCACGGGCGGTGGGGGCACTCTCACCTCTCCCAAGTCTGGCTGCCCGTGATTGAACCGGGGTTCTCAAGTGTCGTGAGTTGAGGGTCTCAGTGCAGTTACGAAATAATTCATACAAAAAAAACCATGATATTTTGCCTTGAAATTTATTTGGCTAAAATGCCCAGTTTAACGATCACGCATTTGTCTATGCGGTAGGGTGGATGGGGAAGTGCTGCCCCCTGGTGAGGTCAAGAGGTCGCCGAAGAACATTTTCAGAAGTGGTTCCACGACATCCAGTTCCGCGGGCCGTTCTCGAGCAGGGCGTGGGCCGAAGGGATTCTCGGGACGGGACGCTGAGAGCCGAGATCAGACGCTAATCGGCCAAAAGGTGCAAACGGCGAAAGGTAAAGAATTTAAAATAAAAAAAATGGAAAGTGAGTAGGAGACGGCAATGCCCAGCACTGAGCTATTAAACAAATCTACAAACCTGAGCTTCGGATGACTTAAAGACGTACGTAAGTTAACGGTTATAACGCATTAGACAAGTTGCCTGAAATAGAGCGGTATATTGGGAAGGGAGTGTCAGCAGCGGACAGGTGCTGCGGGGAGGGGGGCGAGGGAGGGAGGGAGGGGAGGGGTGGATTTGGGAGCGGTGGCGCATAGGTTGGCATCGCATTGCCCCTACGAGCTTGGTGAGTTGAGAGTGATATGAGAACCGGTCCCGGGTTGCCTCTGGGTCGGCTCAAACTTAAATTAGGTCCTTGGTGCGGTGTGTAAAACCTAGCACCACTGGGGAGATAAAGGCGGCCGCTCACGGAGTTTGGCCTCAGCGCCCCCCCTCTCTCTCTCTCTCTTGCACCGTGCCGGCCTTAATAGGCGCTCGCTGACCGCCCGTGTGCGTGCACGCTCATGCCGGTACGTGTCTGTGCGTCGGTGCAATAAGGAACTGGCCAAACATCCCAGCGGGGGACCTTCCTGAAAACGAGTCCTGAGACTCACTTAGCCTGACTTTCCTGGGTGGTATTAATCATAATAACAATGTACAAAAAAAACCCCACCACAATCAAAACAACGATTAACAAAAGTTAAAGCTCTGATCTGAACGATGCCTGCTCCGCTCACCCTCTGCGCCGATGGACACCAGCTTGACGCCCTTGCTGGCGATGAAGTCCAGCGCCTTGTTGACGTTGGCGATCTTGTGGAAGCGCATCTTGCCCTTGTCTGGCTTGGGCAGCCGCTCGCCTGCAGCGGGAGGCAAAGCGAGGGTTGGCGGACCACGTCGAGAACAAGAGTTTCGACACATTTCACAGTGCTCCGTAGCGGCTGATTCGGACGTCATTGCTATGACATCGTCGTGCATAGTTAATAAGTTAATTAATTATCAGACCTTTGTCCCACACGGGCAGAGATAATCTCGCTGCTCCTGCTACTGCCATCGCTACTGGTCACGTGGCAGTCACTCGTCGATTGATTCCTCCACGCGTGTTGGGGACTCGGTCACTGCCAGACACTGACTGCTTCGTCTCATCCAGCACCACGCCGCGTGCGACCACCACCGCTGCAGGACGCAGCAGCACACTCACTCACTCACCCTGTCACTCACCCTGTCACTCACCCTGTCACTCACCCTGTCACTCACCCTGTCACTCACCCTGTCACTCACCCTGTCACTCACCCTGTCACTCACCCTGTCACTCACCCTGTCACTCACCCACCGACTCACTCACCCTGTCACTCACCCACCGACTCACTCACCCTGTCACTCACTCACTCACTCACCCTGTCACTCACCCTGTCACTCACCCTGTCACTCACCCACCCACTCACTCACCCACCCACTCACCACACCGCGGGACACCTCAGTTCTCTGTCTGCCTCTTCCCTCGAACTGTTTCACTTTGGAATTCCCTCCTTCCTTCACCATCATCACCATCATCGTCGTCTCTTTCCCCCCCAAGCTCCTTCAACAATAATAACAATAGCCTCGCTCAATTCGAGAAATCCCTTACGCCCTCATCTATCCCAGAATTAACAGTGCTGTTTGTTTCTGGTCGCTTGCGTTTTCGGGATTTTGGGCCCCGTGTTTCTCAGCAAGCGTGATGATAACAACAACAACAACAAAAAACAACACTCCATACGGACTCCGTCATCTCCACTCTAGGCACGAACAGCACCTCGCCGCTGCTGCTGTTGCTGCCCCTGGTGATTGTGGTGGTGGTGGCTGGTGGTAGCCATACAATGAATAATGCAGCTGGCCTAGGGGATTACGGATAAATAATGCAGCCTCCACCCCGGGGCTGGGAGCGAGAGTGGGGGTCACAGCCACTGTGGGTGCCGTGGGTGTCCAAACCCCCCCCCCCCCCACTCACCGGCCCCATCCGCTCCACGTGCTATGACATGGAAAAGAGACACCCCGAAAGTGTCCGGACAAAGCAATCCGTGGTGCCGTGTTGTTTGAGTCCGCGTGCGTTCTCCATTGAGCAGGGTGGCGACATAAACGCTGGTTATGCCGATGACCGAATCATTTAAGACACGCAGATTAATATATTTATAAAAACTCAACGCGTTCGTCAATACCATAATGTGTGCGTTGCCTTAAATTGAAAAATATAGCATAGACAACGTTTCGGGAAATGGCCCTTCTTCATGTACGTGCTATTAAGGAGGGCCCGTTACACAAGACGTCACCTGTAATATGTATTAACATACACAGCACTGCACGGACATGAAGCTGAGTACTGAATCGGTGGAGGCCAGAAGATCCGTGCTGCTTGTATATATATGTACCACGGGCTAATAGGTGTCCTGTACACTACAGGCGAGCCAGATGATTAGTACGATCATGTAATCAGTTGTCGGGTTAAACTCATCCGTGACCAAGTTGGGAGTGGGGGGTGAACTTCGCTGACTCCCCCTCTACCAACCCACCCCGTGGTGTGACCCCCCCCCCCTTCGCCCTGCCAGCCTCCACAGTCAGGACTTGCGACAGAAGCCGCGTGAATGACCGACGAGAGAAGCTCGGCCACAACGAGCGTGTGTGTCGGGTGTTTAAAGTTCGCCGTCGCTCTCCCTCTTCATCTCTCTCTCTCTCTCTTTCCCTTACCTCTCGCTCTCTCTCTCTCTCTTATCTTTGAGATTCGATTCCATCCCAGTGTGGCTACCGGGAGCGCGTCGCAGATTTAGTTTTGAATGAGACATCCAATGGACTCCCCTGGCTTTGACCACGCAAAGCCACAGAGATCCCCCGCCCCCGGTACCGTTTATCCCCAAAGGCCACCAGGGGTCAAGTGCCTTGGGATTTACAGCCAGAGGCAGCTCGAGCGGAAAAGGGGGCCCTCTCTCTCTCTTGAAGTGTAGACCTGGGCTGCCAATGTCAATAAGTAATCCGCACGGGTAACGCTTTGTCTATCCACAGCTGGACGAGGACTTCCCCATGCACACGCGTACGCCTATACATGCTCACACCTACAGCTGTACACGTACACACACGGACGTATACATATGTATGCATGCCTGTGTGTGTGCGCTTTTGTCTGTGGCGAGCGCTAATGCAGTGGTTAGTGCGCTGCCCTTCGACCTGAGTTTGATTCCAGGCCACGGTGAGCATCAGTGGCTAGTTATATCAGAACCGGTCCTGAGCCTCGGTTAGGTCGACTCGGCCTCAAAGGATAATTTTTGTGCAGTGTGTAAATATGACCACCTGGGAGACAAAGGTGGCCGGCCGTGTGTTCTGGCCACATCAACCCACGCGTGGGCCAATTCCGGCCTGGATAGGTGCTCACTAACAGCACTTGCTCCAACAGTCTGTCTAGGGATATACGGGGGAACTCTGTGTTTGTGCGTGAGGGCGGGGGATCCGAGTGAAGGTGTGCAAGAAGAAGTGGCGGTGGACGCAGGCTGTGCGTTCATCTCTCCACCTCTGGGTCTCGCGCTCACCTGAGATGACCTCGAGCAGCAGCATGAGCTTGAGGCCGTTCCGAAAGTCATCCTCGATGTTCTCGATGCCCGTGCCGGCCTTCCTCAGGTGTGAGTTGCACCAGGCCGTGAAGGTCTGCAGAGGGCACACGGACCTAGGTGAACATCTCAATGCCACACTTGTGTGGAGATCATCTCAATCTCACACCTGAACGGAGATCATCTCAATGCCACACTTGTACTGAGATCGACTCAATCGCACACCTCTTGGGAGATCATCTCAATGTCACACCTGTACGGAGATCATCTCAATCCCACACCTCTCGGAAGATCATCTCAATCCCACACCTGTACGGCGAAGACCTCAATCCCACACCTATACGGGGATCATCTCAATGTCACACCTGTACGGAGATCATCTCAATGTCACACCTGAACGGAGATAATGTCAATGCCACACCTGTACGGGGATCATCTCAATGCCACACCTGAACGGAGATCATCTCAATGCCACACCTGTACGGATATCATCTCAATGTCACACCTGTACGGGGATCATTTCAATGCCACACCTGTATGGAGATCATTTCAATGTCACACCTGTACGGGGATTATCTCAATGCCACACCTGAACGGAGATCATCTCAATGCCACACCTGTACGGATATCATCTCAATGTCACACCTGAGCCACGATCTGCCCCGCTGGCGCGATGGTCAAGGGTCGCAGGTGAGAGTGACAGGTGAGAGTGACAACAGGTGGGAGTGACAACAGGTGAGAGTGACAACAGGTGAGAGTGACAACAGGTGAGAGTCTCCGGAGAGCAGCCACTGATCGAGCCATTCTCTCTGCAAGTGTAACCGCCGAGAGGAGGCGCCATTATGTTACCGCATGTCTTATTCACGAGATGATTAGCGCACACACACACACAAAGATAACACCGCACGTGTGTGTGTGTGTGGACATAAAAGGAAAGCTATATACAATAGGCGACGTTTCGGGCAATGTTTCTTTTTCAATTCATTCTCACGTCATAATACATCATTAGCGTGCAATGTCGTGCGAATGAATAATGTGTTACGCAGAAGGGGCATTCGACAACAACAATAGCCGTGACGTCGCCACAGCGCTTGTGCCAGGCTAGGTGCACCTTGAGGCTATCACGCGTGAAGTGCGGTAGGCTCTCGCTGCTGACAGGAGGTGTTTATGGGTTGGCTGACTGACAAATGCGCCACCTGTGCTGCCCATTGTGCCAAATTCAACACACACACACTGACATACACATTTACACAGACAAAGACAAAGATCCCCCGTATAGCGTTAAACAGACTGTTGGAGCAAGTGCTGTTCGCGAGCCACCGATGAAGGCGGGAACGACACACGAGGGGGTGGGTGGCCAGCACCACGCCCGACTACCTTTGTCTCCCTAGTGACGATGTTTGCTACACATTGCACCAGGTACTCATTTAAGGCTTAGTAGACCCAGGGGAGGGCCAGGACCGGTTCAGATAATCGTCACTGGTGTTGGTCGTTAACGGGAATCGAACTCGGGTCGCAGGGTTCGTAGCGCAGCGCGCAAAACCGATGCACTACAACTCCCTATACATACACACGCACATGTACACACGCACACCTACACGCAGACACACACACACGTGCACACGCACACCTACACACAGACACACACACCCGTACACACGCACACCTACACACAGGCACACACACATGTACACACGCACACCTACACACAGACACACACACACGTGCACACGCACACCTACACACAGACACACACACACGTACACACGCACACCTACACACAGGCACACACACACGTACACACGCACACCTACACACAGACACACACACACGTGCACACGCACACCTACACACATGTACACACGCACACCTACACACAGGCACACACACACGTGCACACGCACACCTACACACAGGCACACACACACGTACACACACACGCACACCTACACACAGGCACACACACACATGTACACACACACGCACACCTACACACATGTACACACACAGGCGCAAGTAAATTACCTCGACAATGCTTCTCTTAGCCCCGAGCGCCGTTAATTTGTTCGCGCTAAGGGAAGACCTGCGACGTCGTTGTTGTTTCTCCCATTCTCGGTGGGGTTTTTTTTTCTTCCAACATCGCCTTTCAACACAGCTCCCCCCCCCCACACGCCCGCCCCGCGGCGCTTCTCCGGTGGCCACGTGCGCGTTAATTTTGATCGGGCGCAGCGCTGGGATGAGCGCAGCACGAGAGACGTGATCGTTTGAGGGACACGTGAAACCTCCTGCTGCTGCTGGTGGTGATGCGTTGTGGAGCGGTAGTGTAGCGGTTAGCGCTACGCTGCGCTATGAACCCGGCGACACGGGTTCGATTCCCGCTCACGGCCAACACCAGTGACGATTATCTAAACCGGTCCCGGACCTCCCCTAGGTCGATTCAGCCTCAAATGCGTACCTGGTGCGGTGTGTAAACATCGCCACTGGGGAGACAAAGGCGGTCGGGCGTGGTGCTGGCCACCCACGCCCTCGTGTACCGTTCCGGCCTTCATAGGTGCTCGCTAACAGCACGTTGCCCCTACAGTCTGTTAAGGCTATACGGGGGAATCTTTGTCTTTGATGCGTTGGCAGTGGTGCAGGAGCACAAACGACAACTCGACACGTCCCTTGCCAATAGCAACACCGTGTCTGCCGTCTTTATGAGCTATGCACCTTTACATCTAAATTTAAAACGTATTTCTTTAGAAATTATTTTTGTGTGTTCCTTCCCCCCGCACCTCCGATGAGCACGGTTGGCTACGTACGGTGCGTAAAACGTTCAACAATAAAAATAAACAATATAAGCGGCGACGTTTTGGGCAATAGCCCTTCTGTGACGTGGCCCAGTGGTAGCACGTTCGCCACTTGTTTCATAGAATCGTGGTTTCGATTCCGGAAGGCCGCCCAAGTTATTATTCTTGCCGGTGTATTAGGCAATAAGGTAGACTTTAGACGTCATTTGAAACGAGTTAAATCGTTGTGTACCGGCGTCACGGTTCACATTCACCAGAGTCGTAGACTCCGGGGAGGGGAGTAGAGGTAGAATGTGTGGTAAAAGAAAGCAATGGGAGAGGGAAGGGAGGCGACGGTTAAAAAGAAGAGCACGGCTCAAGATGAGCAGCAGAAGAAAGGGAGGAGAAGTTCCCGTGCAGGAAGGGGAGCAGGGGGAGAAAGAATGACCGGGCCGAGGTGTCGGGGAAGAGAGGGAAGGGAAGAGAGGGGAGCGAGAACAGAGCAGGAAGGAGCGAGAAAAAGTGAGCTGCACAGAGCAGAGTCTGTTTTCACAGTGGGTGGGGAGAGGAAGGGTGGGAATCAGAATGGGCGTGCCCACGCACAAGTCACGTGGATCACGGCAGACATGAAGATGATTTAGATGGAGTGGCAATGTTCAGACTTTTTTCTTACTTTCTTTCTTTTGTTAAATCACATGTGAAGAGGAAGCGCCATGGGGTTACTACGCCTGAATAAAGGCGGACTGGATGATGTTAACCAACAAGGTCGGCCTGCATTGCTTGCAGCGTGATGTTGTTTTTACTTATCTCTCCAAGGTCTCCCGTTTAAAAATATATGTCTAGTGGAGGTGGCTCACGGGTCAGAGCGCTAAGCCTGCCAGAAGAGGCTTTGGGACGCCTTTATGCTTTGGTGGATTGGAATTTGTGTTTTGTAATGGCGGGTGGATTTGAATGGCTGGAATTGTAGTCATGTTGCGTAAACCTGAAACATTAAGACATCTAGCTGCATCATACTCACCAAGTCCACCCCGCGACATCCACCTCGCCCGCTCCACCTACCCACCCACCCAATCCAGTCCACCATACCCACATAGTCCACTCCATAACGCATATTCACCCAGCTCTCCGCATAATAACCTTCCGGGACACATCACCTACCCACTGCACAACATCGAGCGATTCCGCAAACTCTACCCGCACAGTCGACCCCACAACATCTACTCAGTCCACTCCACAACACATAAACAGGCCACAGAGCATACCCAGGCGACAACAAATATAAAATCAGGTCCACAGCACCTACCCACCCACTCCAGTCTACCACTCAATACCCCCCAAGTCCTTCCCCCACCCCGCCCCTCGTGAGCGTCATAGGGACACCATCGTGGCCCCTTATTAAGCGCGACGAGCGGTGCCCCCCCCCCCCCTAATCCGCGTAGAGGAGCGCCCACCCCACCCGACCGTGCGCTATTTTCAGTGTGAGAGATAGGGTGGCCAGGGGTACACAGCGTGGTGTGTGGGTCCGTGGGAGGGTGAGTGCGTGGGTGGGTGGGTGGGTGAGTGGGTGGGTGGGTGAGTTAGTGAGTGGTCGAGTAAGTGGGTGAGTTAGTGAATGGCTGAGTCGGCGGGTGAGTACGTGGGTGGATGAGTGGGTGATTATGGGAGTGCGTGGGTGGGTGCGTGGATGATTGGATGGGTGGATGGTTATGTGAGTGATACGGCGAGTGGTTTGGTGAGGGGGTGCATTTGTGAATGTGTGGGTCAGTGGGTGAATGGGCACGTGTGCTGGTGGGATTTTGAATGTATGGGTGGCTCGGTGGATGGGTAACTTAATAGCTGAGTTAGTGGGTGGATGGACGAGTTAGTGGATGATTCGTTAGATGCGTGGTTGAGCGTGTAGATGTGTGAACGGATGAGATTGGCGGACGAATGCGTCAGTGGATGATGGGTGGGTTAGGGTTAGTAGGTGCATGGATGGATGGACGGAACGGATGACTGGGTGAGTTACACCGCATCGCCACCCACCTGGCCCACGTCTTTCCACCCAGCTCACTACGCAGCCCCTCGCACCACCGCCCCCGCCCTCCACACGACCACGTTCGTTCCCCGCAATACTCGCTGCCCAAATTTAGCCATGCGCTGCGGCCGCGCGGGAACCGCCTGCGCCGCGCTGCCAGCCTTAGCCGCGGCTAAATCGGGAAGCGCTAGCGGCGCTGTAATTTAAAGCGCGCGCGCCGCGGTCCCCTCTGCACGAACTATTCACTGATGCGGCAAGATCCGCGACGGTGGCGTGGCGGTTGTGGTGTCCTCCCCGCCCGCCCGCCCGCCC